TTTGCCGCTCAACCTATTTTGCTTAACAGTGGATACAAAACATTTTCCTTGGCTAAAAACAAAGTCAGTGTACCGATCGCTTCAACTCTAGTGTATTTTCAAATATCTTGCTTTTATTGACACTTCCTGTAGAGTACAGACACAAACAGAAGGATGCAGCATCTCATTGAGCATTCATATCAGAAAGAGACCGTCCATCTACACATACGTTCATACGTGCATTATCTCCCTATTACCATTCATGACTCAGTCCAGTTCGCTCGTTTGACCTCAGCCGCCTCAGTTATATTGCGACGCCGCCGTTGCCTGTGCCACAATACTGCTGCTATATTTATGTATCGTGTGCCACTGTCACCATCTTTAAGCAATCCACAATGAGAGAAAGAAGTAGGATGACCGCACTTTCTAAGTAAAATACCGTCAACTGACAAATTAAATGGATTAAGTCACTCGTACAATTAGTCCACAGTTATTCTTCCCTTGCACTACCGGTAGTTACTGTCCAACTGGCAACGTCGTCCCTTCCTAAATCGTTAGACCTATGATGTGTGAAATATGGCTAATAGTAGAATTACCTAAGTTAGGAGTGGATAAATATACTAACATCAACAAAATTGCATAACCCTCCCCCGCCCACTACATCCCCCAACCTCTCGTTCTTGGTTTTTTCTCCGCCGCCAATGGACCGATTTTCAAAACTACAAAGCTCTTTCCTCTGTTCCGTTTCATACAAAATAAATCGATGAGCAGACAGATTTTTAGGTCATACGCTTTATGATAGACTTAGAATTTTGCGTGCATACAGGAATTATTCCTAGCAATACTGGTTTCTTCCGTCCAGTCAACGGGACAATCAGGCCAAATGTGATTTATCACACTGTATGTTTCACACGCGTATGATACATGTCCATATCATTCACGGATTCCACAGAAGATAAGGATTTGCGAAATATGAATAACACGGGCAAACGGCTTCGATATGCTGATAAGACTCATTGTTATTACGGAGAAATATTTTGTACTGTTGTAGATGAATGTAGATATAACGCTGAATAAATATTAGTGTGGCTCCCGGTACGTTTAACGCTGAAATTGCTAATATATTTTATGTAATATTAAGACGCTCTCATTTCTGCCTCTTTCTCAGAAGACTCCCGAATGTTGGCACTGTCGTGTCCAATTGGAAATATTTAGACGATAATGCTCCTTCATCTCAAGATTTCGAATAAAAGCGTGTTGCGAATTGACAGCAGGATGGAAAAAGGCATAGCACGCTTTTATCTGAAAACTTGAGATGAAATATTTTAAACTTTTTAGTTCATTTCATTAACAGCTAAATTGAAGCCTGTTTTTAAAAATGTATTTTTTACTTTACTTTTTAGTATTAATAATGCCAAATAACTAGTTCAGTAATTTATATACAGGATGTTAATAAAGTATGTAGACAAACATTAACCATCGAATCCTTGGTCAATTTAAAGACGAAATTTCCATATGAACATGGGTCCGCAACGTCTTTGTTTTCAAGCTAGAGCATATTAGCACTAAAAGAAATGATGATATTGTTCTAAAAAATTATAAAAGAATGGAACGTATTTTATTTTAATCAAGTATACCCTGTGGTGAATATCACATGATTTACAATTGTTTTCAGACCCTCCATGTACGTAGATATGGATAATGGTATCCAGTATTTTTTGAAAAAATAGCATGACATTTGATTGATTTGTTTTGATCGCAATACTTTTAATATTTAAGCATTGTGCTTATCTAGACATCTATGACGTACCCGAAAACAATTGAATTAATTTATTTTCTCAAATAATTCGACAGCTGTCAAATACTTGTTTTCTTGTCTGGTCATTCTAAGACTCCAAATATTTCTAAGTTTTCGTGATTACTAATTGTCATAATGGTCAGTTCAGTAATCAAGAAATGACAGATATGCATTCCGTTTACGGAATGGCTTTGGGTCACGCTCGATGAGCACGACGTTTGTATGGTGATCGATTTCCACAACGCCCGCCGCCTAAATCAACATTCACGCTCGACTATGTGAAACAGGCAATAAAATCGAAGAGGACCCTACACCAAGTACACCAAAAATATATCCATATCATATAGAACGTATACAAGCGCTTTTGCCTCGAGTTTTGCCTATAAGAGATGATTTTCGCAACTGGTTACGTGAAAAAGTAACATTTAAATAAAAAAAATTAAATCGAGTACTATTCACGGATGGAGCATGTTTTTCGCGAACAGCAATAATACATTTCTATAATAACCATGTATGGTGTGAAGAAAATCCCCATGTCATAATTGAACATAATACGCAACACGACTTTTTCTTCAATATTTCAATTGGAATCGTTAGTGACCACTTGATTGACCCTCATTTCCTTCCCCCCAGACTTAGCGGCAAAGAGTACCGAATACTTTTGGAATTTGACCTACCTGGATGAACGGTGCTCCGCCACACTTCAGTGTCGTTGTGAGAGAATACCTAGATAATAATTTTCCAAATTGATGGACTGGAGGAGACGGACCACAGCCATGGCCGCCTAAATCGCCTGACATGAATCCTATCGATTTCTTTTTATGGGGACATTTGAAATCATTAGTATACAAGACTCCTGTTCAAAGCGTGGAGGACTTAAGAGTCAGAATTGTCGAGTCATGTCTGACTGTACAAAATATTCCGGGTATTTTCAGGAGAGTTCGTCAGTCAATGTGCGTTATAGTACAGAAGATTTACCCCTACCACTAAAGAAGAGGATCGAGTTTCCCTGGATCAGCACTTATCCAGTCTTATTTTATTGTATTCACAGTTAGATAGTCTGTTGTTAGCGCTCATACTATACGAGTATACATCAATAGAATTGTATTTTGATAATCGAAAATAAATCTTTTTAAAAAGCAAGTAGACTGACTCGGTCAGATAATTGGCGCAGCCAGAGTAGGATTTTCGGGCTGTTTCGCGAATCAATCGAGACCGCGAAAGCAGTTTTCGTATCGACGAATTTACCGGAAAAACGGCCTATGGACTAAAGACTTTGGTGAGTGGGAGTTCGAGCGGAACCGGTCTATCGAAGACACCGTGTGCAGCTACCACCTACGAAGTCAGGGATTTGGACCACACATAGCCCAAATCTGCAAGCGGAACATTTTGGAGAAGGACCAGATCGCCCAACCAAGATCTTCCCCTTATAGTTAAGCAACCAAGTAAAGACAAAGAATGAAACGTGTTGCACTTGATCACCCTCGTATTAGCGTAAGTGCAACTATACATTTTAAATGTCTTTGGAAGATATTGCAGAGGCTATAGATAATTTGACACTTTCAACAGACTCACCTATTTTGAGACCACCTAGATTAAATATTGAAAATATTCCAAGCATGTCTCAATTCAGACCAGAATTTTTAAATTGCGTCCCAGAGTTTGACGGAAATCCTAATGACTTAAATAGGTTTCTATCAGTGAGTGAAACATTAATTGCAAATTTTATGATATACGGAACCCATATAATTGCCAAAATATTTATTTGCTAAATTCACCGATCTCGAAATTGAAAGGAAATGCTAAAGTGCTTGTGAATATTCAAAATATCACAAGTTGGGTAGATTTAAAAGACGTTCTGACTAGGAATTTTTCTGATCAAAGAGATGAAACTTGTCTAAACCGTGATTTGGTTATGTTGAGGCAAATGCTAAATGAAACGCCTCAAAAATTTTATGATAAGTGTCTTCATATTTTGAATCTGCTATGCAGCCATGTAAACGTACATGAACATTCTGAAGAAGCAAAAGTGTTAAAAAGAAATTTATATCAAGAATTAGCTTTGAAAACATTTTTGTGCGGACTACGAGAGCCCTTGGGCACAACAATTAGATGTATGAAACCCACATCTTTCAGCCAAACTTTACAATTCGTTGTATCTGAAGACAATGTCAGCTATTTCCAAAATTATAACAAACATGTTGGAAAATCACAAAATGTGCCACAGAATCAAACTTCCAGGCCAATGCAAAGGCCAATGATTAATCAAAATAGACCTTCATACTTTCAGCCTACTAATTATTCATTGTCAGCCGAACACTTCAACATTTCAACCTAGATTTAATTCGACTTTTCCGACTGGACCTGTAAGCTTGCCAAGGCCAGTTTATCGTCCTCAGAGATTTCCGACGAATTCTCAGGTTTTTAGACAAACACAGAATAACAGAAATGTTTTCAAACCTAACCCTAACCGGACTTTGCCACAAACTACTCCACTGAGTACTTCTACTAGAATTTCTTTCAAACCTGAACATAATTCGACAGCCCAGCAACAACCAAAACCAAATTGGATCGCTGAAGAGCTAGTCAATACTGAGACAGAAAGTAATAACACCTATGAAGTTCCTGGTAACGAATCTTTTGTTTGCGATCAAACTGTAGCTGAACCACAAAATTCAGATACATATTTCACTGATCAATATTGCGAGTATTATACACAAGATAATCCTGAAACTGATCACGTAGAACCACCTCAAAATTTTCAGAAGGACTCATTCATAGACCACAAAACCTAGCACCAGAGGTAATTTCACTTAACGCCAACAATGCTAGCGAACTATCCTACACTCTTTTTCCCGAATATGGAATTAAAATGTTAATTGATTCTGGATCAACTAAGTCATTTATCAATCCCACTATTGCTCGTAGATTTTTTCCAAATTTAATCAGAGATGATCCATTTTGTTGTATCAACTGTTTTTCAAAAATCCGCCCACAAATATAGTGCATCCGTCCCGGCATCGAAAATTTTCAATCTTCCTAATCGTATGGATTTGAAGTTTTACCTATTTAAATTTCACAATATTTTCGATGGATTGATTGGATTAGATAATCTAAAATTATTGAGAGCCGATATTAATTTAAGCAAAGGAACTTTACATACGCCCTACGCCAAAATTAGACTAAAATTTCACCAGCTTTCTAACGACTTAAATTTGATAACCGTTGCACCTTGAACCGAACAAGTAATAAAAATCAAAACATCGATCGCCAATGGTGAAATCGTAATTCCTCATCAAAAATTTCATAATTGCGAGATACCTGAAGGCCTTTTCGATAGCAAAAAATTTTGCGCTGACAACGATTTTGAATAACACTACTAAGCCTGTTACATTAAATTCTTCTCAGCCGATTTCAGTAGAATCATTTAATTTATCAGAAATGCCAGAAATTGATCTCAATTATTAAGACACATCAGAAAAATTTTACCTAGATTTGTCGAAAATCAGGATTGATAACCTAAATTCTGAAGAGAAATCAAAGATACTTCAACTTTGCAGAGAGTTTTCAGACATTTTTTACCAGGACAGAACTCCACTAACATTTACTAATAAAGTCAAACATCAAATAAAAACCAAAAACGAAAGGCCAATTTACACAAAATCGTATCGCTATCCATTTGTTCAAAGAGGCGAAGTAAATAGCCAAATACAAAAAATTTTGGATTCCAATATAATACGTCCAAATAGCTCAGGTTATAATTCACCTATCTGGGTCATTCCAAAGAAGCTAGACGCTTCGGGGAAGCAAAAATGGAGAGTTGTAATTGACCGAAAATTAAATGAACAGACTATTGGCGATCAATATCCGTTACCCAATATAAACGACTTGCTTGTCAAACTTGGCAGATGCCAGTATTTTACTACCCTTGACTTAGCGAGTGGTTTCCATCAAATCGAGATGGACTAAACAGACAAAGAGAAAACCGCCTTTAGTACCGAAAATGGGCATTGGGAGTTTCTCCCGATGCCTTTTGGCCTAAAAAAACGCGCCCGCCATATTCCAACGCGTCATGGATAATATTTTAAGGGAGAAATGTCTCGTATATCTCGACGACATTATAATTTTTTCTACATCCCTTCAAGAACATATTGAAAATTTAAGGTCAGTTTTCCAACGACTCAGAAATTCAAAATTTAAAATACAGCTCGACAAATCAGAATTCCTTCGTAAAGAAGTAGATCTCGGACATATAGTCACACCAAACGGCGTTAAGCCAAATCCAGATAAAATTATTGCCATCCAAAAATTTCAGATTCCAAAAAAGACTAAGCAGATTAAAAGCTTTCTCGGACTTATTGGTTACTATAGACGTTTTATAAAAGGTTTTGCGAAACTCACAAAGCCTCTAACTAAATGTCTAAAAAAGGGAGCCGAAACTGAACACGATGCTGAATTTATTGACTGTTTCTAAAAATGTAAAAATGTTCTTAAGAATGAACCGATACTCAAGTATCCAGACTTTTCTAAGCCATTTAACTTGACCACGGATGCGAGCAACGTAGCCCTTGGTTGTGTACTTTCACAAGGCCCTATAGGACAGGATGTACCTATCGCCTATGCTTCGCGCACGCTTAATGATTCCGAACGAAATTATAGTACGGTTGAGAAAGAATTACTAGCAATAGTCTGGGCGACTAAATACTTTCGGTCCTATCTTTATGGGAGAAAATTCAATCTAATTACTGATCATATGCCCGTAAAATACTTATGGACCCTTCGAGACCCTTCTTCAAAATTACTAAGATGGAAGATCAGGTTAGACGAGTATGATATGAATATCGTCTATAAGAAAGGCAAACTGAATACCAAGGTAGAGATCCATACAAAAGAAACCAGTTCATTTTGGAACGACTTAGATGATTTGATTCAAGAATGCGCGGGTACTCAACACCAAAACGTTAAGTTTGACCGACCAGTTTAGAAAGGCTCATCTGAATTAAGTACACCAAAACAACCTGATACCGAATCTATGTTCGTAAACGTCGATAATGACGAAGACAGTCTTTTTATTCAACCCCCAGACGAAATTGTAGATATCATTGAACATGAACAAGTCCATCTAGAATATCAAAATAATCGTCCTGAAAATCCAGACGAAACTGTACATTCAAATGCAGACCAACATCCCATTCAGACAATTGTTGATTACGCAGTTAATCAGGGAAATAATCAGATTATTATAAATACAGTAAAACATTCACCTGCATCACCAAAAAATTCTATTTTATTTGAAAGCAAGCAACGAAGTAACGTACAATTTTCAGAAAATGATTTTGACGATGATGTATTTAAATTTATTCGAGATTATATTGCTCCGAACGTAATTTATCACTTATAATTTGAAAATCCAGATATATATGAAAATTTTTCTGTTGTTCTACAAAGGATGTTTAAGTCCGATACTTTGAAATTCAAAATCTGTAGAACCAAATTAGTCGACGTTACAGATAAAACTGATATCAAGGACATTGTCCGGAATTACCACGAAAGCAAGTCGAATCATCGTGGAATTGAGGAAACGCATCAGAGAATAAAAGAAAAATATTTTTGGCCTAAATTGAAAAAATCAATTCAAACATTTATAAATGAATGTAAAAATTGTCAACAATGTAAATATGAGCGTCATCCGATAAAAGTTGCGATGAATCTCACCCCCACTGCATCAAAACCTTTTGAAATCGTACATATCGATACTTTCACTTTTGAAGGTTCAAAATTTCTCACAATTATAGATAGTTTTTCTAAATATGCTCAAGCATATCAGATTACTTCGCTTTCAGGAACTGAAATTGCTGATAATCTGATATTATTCTTTTCTCGTCATGGAATTCCTACCCGAATTATCGCAGATAATGGCACTGAATTCAAAAATACCGCTGTAACTGAACTTTTGTCACTTCATAAAATTAAGCAACATGCACACATTCTGGCTCCGCCTACGAGATTCGCCGGGTGGTACCTCCGCGTTCGACAGTCAGAGACCGTCTACCACCTACGAACCCGCACAGCGCACGGCGACTGATCAGGAGACCGAAGAGTCTACTACTGCTACCACCGCTGCTGCCTGACCTTCTAAATAATTGTTTTTCCAAAAATACAGGATAATACTATTTTCATCCACGTTCATATTGAGCCTCAGCAACTTGTAAAACATGCAAAATTTATCATAGGTCATACCAACTGTTCAATAAATACGTTTCCTTATTCATAGAAATATTTGGAGCATTACTCGTATTTCTTTAGTGACAGTGCTCTAGCTCGAAAAGAAAGCCGTTACGGACCCATGTTCTTATGAACATTTATTCTTCAAATTGACCAAGGATTCGATAGTTACAGTTTGTCTACATACTTTATTAACACCCTGTATAACTTTCACATGTTTTAATAATATGACTCGCTAAAACTTACTTTATTTGTATTATACAATTTCGATAGATATAATTTTGTATACTCAAGATCCGAATAGAGACAAAAAGTACTTGATACCGCTGTTTTCATTAGCTGCATTTATTTAAATATGAATACTTTTTGAATATTTCAACTGATAAAAAACATATGCGCACTATAAACTTGATTTTTATTTATGTAGTTAAGTTAAAAAATATATATAAAAAAATATGATTTATATTGAATAAATTATATTAAATAAAACTTACCATTATGATACACAGTGAGTGAGGTTAGAAAAATTATTAAAAAACATTTTTTTATTTCTATTAGATTTTTATAAGAAAATTGTAGAATAAAACTTGGACAAGAAAATATATGAATGTCACACAATGTACCTGCATGATTAAAAACTAAACGTAATTTTTATATATCCACTTTACCTCGTATCACACAAATTATAACAGGTATCAAAATTTATTATAAAATAGAATGGCGATACTACACAAGCACAAGTGCATACGTAATCTAATTTCATTCATTGAGCAGTCTGTTGGCATGGCGAAATCAGGAGCACCACCGTCCACATAAACAAAATCACTTTTCACTATTTTGTTGGTGCCATCCCCTACCACCGCTAACGTGTTTTAACACGCTTAAATCGCGTAAAGCGGATTCAGAGACGGTACTCAGAACCCAGAATTTCGAATACTGACCGCAAAAGTATTCAGTCGAATATCAAATACCAAACGCACAAATGTATTCGAATAGTATTCAAATACCAGCCGAATCTATTCTGAATAGGATTCAAAATACCGAGTATTCGAATATCATCAAAGTCTGCTATCCCTCCACCTGACAGGCTTGAACTCACCATAAATTTATAACCTTTTTCTGCGATATCTAACAAATGATGATGTTCATTCAGTAATGTGTTAAGTGATTTGATGACCATTAATTTCGGTTTTCTCTCCAGCCGCGGCCGCGTAGCGTTTGGATATATCCCATTATCATCGCATTACGACACGTCGATTTCCGAAAGGCGGTCTGCGGGCGGCCGCCGGCGTGGTCGAATTCGATATTCCGATGACTTTTTGATGTGCCCAATAGTTGGAAGCGCACAATGGAAACAAACATGGCTGCCCACGCAACCGCTCAAATAGCTTTAATTATAATTCTGTTTGACACGTTGAAATATATCTACATGTTGTTGTAGCGTCGTCCTTTGGTTCCGTTCAGCCCAAATAGATTTCATGTCGAAGTTTCCTGTCCAAATATATATTTCAATTGGGAGCAATTAAAGAAACTGTGTCGTCCTCATTAAGAATAACTTAGTAATACATTCCCAATTGCTCACCGTGTGTATTGTATAGTTTATGTTCAATGTTTTACTAGGTATCTCCCTACAGGAAGCTATATTATGTTAAGGTGACTCATTACGTTTCACACAGTTTTCTAAGTATAATCTATTTTTTTCACGCTTTTATTATCAAGGACCGATGACAGTGCAATAATTTGATAACAGTTTTCCATTATCCTTATTAGGACCGCCAGGATTGATAAATTCTTTTATATATCCCCTGTATGGGGAGTAAGAGAGATAGAGCTTGCGCGCTATCTACGCATGCGTGCCGTTTCGGACAATAGTAGAGGGTGGCCAAAAAAAGAGAATGCATGAATATTAGATTTTAAAAAACACAAATGCCTGATTTTACTATTGACTGGCGGAAGTCAAAATTTGTATCTACTTTTGGCACAAATTGGACCAATGAGAAGGTGTCCCTGAAGTAATGGATCCAATGTAATGGTCGATTTTTTGTAAAGTGTCTTTTAAGCTAGTGAAACA